AAATGGTTTTGTCGTCTGAAGTCTCCTGTTCTTCTTTTCCAGTCTTCCCAAAACTTTCCAGGTCATGAACACTGGAAAACCAGGTTTTATAGTTTGATCTTAAAAGTACATTCACATGGAATTTTACGTTCTGGGCTGTGCACTGCTCTGAGACTCTATCCTGCACAAGGAATAATTATTATTTGTGTATAAATTCTTTATTCTTTATAAAGGCACAGGCTGAAACAAGGGATGTAAGATAATGTTCAGAATAATAATCCTTGCAGTTCATACGGCGCCTTATCATGTCTTCGAGACGTCTCAAAGCGCTTCACATATTTTGTGGGCGAAACGCGGCAGTCAAACTTGCACACAGCAAATTGTTGTGGCTGCTGCTGTTGTGGTGATGGAGGTGGGTGTAGATGTTGAGATTGTTTTGCTTGATGGTGTTTGTTATGGTGTGGTTTTAGGTGGGGTGGGGGGGGTGGGGCGTGTGTGACTATAGTTGGGGTGGGTTGTGGATGGGTTGGGGGCTGTGGCTATGGGGGTGGTTTCCGTTTGCTGTTGGGGACCGTGATTTAGGACTGAAATGAATGGGAAACACAGACTCTGCTGTCATGTGAAGGTGCGTCGGTCAGTGCCTGAATTCCAATTGATCACCCCCCCAAATACACAGTCACTACACTTTACAGTGTATTCCGTGAAGCGCTTTGAGACGTTTCAAAGATGTGATAAGGCGCTATATCAAATGCAAGGATTATTATGATTACATTTCAGTGTACAAGTGGGACCTGGCTACTACCTTTGCCTGTGATTGTCACATTTTAGTGTGATTCAATCCAATTTACATTTATACAGTGCCTTTCTTGAAGGGATAAGGAGCTATAAAAATCCAAGTTACTTCACGGGGATTTACTCTGTAACATGCAGTCACTGTCTTTTGTGGGCAAACACGGCAGCCAATTTGCACACGGCAATGCCCTGCCAACAGCCGGGAAGTGAACGAACAACCGATTGGATTGAAGCCGGTTGATGTCGGAGCAAATTATTTTGAAAGAAAAATATAAAATATCCCTTCGGACACTGGTTGATCCGCTGTTGAAAAGATCAACGTGAATCTCTGTTGGTTTCTGGCGTTTTACGGGTTAATGTCTCACTTTTTTTTTCAAAAAAAACTTCAACCTTCATCTCTTTCCCGAATGAAAGTTAATGAAAAGGAATTGGGATGGTGATTTCAGTCGGAATAAGGCTTAAATCATTAAAGCATCTGGTTCCTGAACGGGCAAAGAGAATCCTTAATTCGAAATTCTTTGTGGCTGATTAGATTGAAGCCCCGTTGCTGGTTGGGAGAGAACGACCTTCTTAATGGCATCTCAGGTCTCTCGCTCGTTCACTCGCTTTCTCTCTCATCTCTGTTTCTCTCTAGTCTGTCTGTCTCTGGTCTTTCTTTCACTGGGTGCGTGTGTGTGTGTGTGTGCGCCTCTCTCTCCTTTCTATGTCTCTCTCTCTGTCTCTTTCACTCTCGTTCCATATCAAACCACCCCTTTTTCCCCCATTCTCGCCCCCATCTTGAATTGCGTTTCATTATAAGCCACACGAGAGAGTCAAGTCTAGCTTTAATCATTCAATGAACGTGTGACTTGGTTGCCGTTTGATATCCCACCCATCTCTCTCTCTCTCTCTCTCTCCCCCTCCCACCCCTCCGGTATAAAATGGAGCGAAAGAACCTGTTAATGGCGGAGCTAGTTTGTGTCACAGCTGGCAAACGTGCTCGTTAAAGATGAAATGAGAGAAGAGGGGGCTCTTAGGTTCTCATTTTAACTATAAAGGTGAAGGTTTGCAAAGTAAGGATTTTTTTTCCCCCCCCAAAGCTATTCTTTGAGAGAAATGTTTTGCAAAGCTTATGACTGATATATATATATATACCCTGTGTATAGGTATATGAAAAAGCCACTACCCTGAAGTTAGAGCGAGGGACTGTGAATTGTTAAAGGACAACACTGTTGGGTTACTGAAAATCCCCAGTGGTTGTGTTTCATTTATAACATTGCCTCAGGCTTTCCATTGCATCCTGTTGGATTGACCTTCTTTTCAACCCTGAGCTGACAGAATGCGCTGCGGAGCACAAGTTTTTTTGACTGCGTTCCAGTTCGGACACGTGACTCGCTTGGCTCGAACTTTAACCTTTTGTGTGCGCGCTTACCTGAGACACCGCTGCCTGTCACTCTTCCTTCCTGACCTGTTTGTGTGTGTGTGTGTGTACGTGCGTGTGCACACGCATGCGTTTGTGTGCGAGAGAGACTGACTGTGTGTGGGTGTGTGTAAGAGTGACTGACGTGTGTATGTGTGTGTGGGAGAGTGACTGACCGCATGTGTGCACACACGCATGCGTTTGTGTGTGAGAGAGTGACTGACTGTGTGTGTGTGCAAGAGTGACTGACCGTATGTATGCGTGTGTGTGTGTGGAAAATCCATGATCTGCATTGTGTGCACGAGTGCTTGTGTGTGAAAAATCCGTGACGTACTTGTCTGTGGGTGCGTGTGGATGGGTGTGAAAAACCCACACTGGCTTTGGAAGCAGGCAAACTGCGTGTAAATACTGTGCATTGCGCGGGCTGTGTGTCTGCATGTTGTGTAGTAAATACTACCACTATTCCTTGCGTTTGTCGCAGTGCCTTTCACGTCAGGAGGACAGCACAAAGCACTTCACAGGATGTAATGACTGTGTGTTTTGTCGGAAGGAAAGGTAGCAACACAGCAGTCTGTACTGAGTAAGCTCCTACTCTCTTGTGATGAGTTTCCAAACTGTTTATTCCCCCCCCACCCCCACACACACCTAAAGCCTAAAAAAAACATTCTTGTGACTGAAAATGGTCAATGTATTCTGCCTTTCAATTATACCAACAGAACTGAAGTCATTGTCCAGCACCACGGTCACCACAGAAAGGAGTTTCGTCCCGTTCGTCAGTCATAACCTCTCCCCCCCTCGCACAGACTAACATGCACACAGACTCACTCACACACAGACGCACTCACACACAGACTCACTCACACACAGACTCACTCACACACAGACTCACTCACACGCAGACACACTCACACTGACTCATACACAGACTCACACACACACTCGGTCTCACACACAGACTTACTCACACACACGCTCACACACAGACTCACACACACACACTCGCTCACACACACACACTCATTCACACACACTCACACACAGATACACGCACACACACACACTCGGGACAGTTAATTTTTACAGTGGTCAATGAAGGATGGTTCTTCTATCTGATTGTGAGACTTGTTGCCGTTTGCAATTTCCCTAATTTCAACACAATACCACATGTGCGGGTCTCACATGTTTCTGGATCAATGCTGAGAATTTTTGTGTGATATTTCCATGCGTGTGGTGTGTGTGTATATGGGTGCACAGCGTATCTGGGGTGCGTGGGTTTGCATGTCGTGCCTGTCCCCCTGCCCTCCCTACTCAACTATCGGTGGTTGAGCCTTTAGCCTTTCTGCCCCCACTTTCTGGAACACCATCCCGGAGCCCCTCCGCCTTGCCTCCTTGCCTCCTTCAAAGCCTGCTTCAAGACCTTCCTTTCCGACCACGCCTTTGGTCACCTTCCCTCCTCCAAACCCCCCAACCCCACCCCCCTTGCCCTCCACCCCTCGCTGATCCCAACTCGCAGCTCAGGTGCGAACCTCTTATTGTCCAGCGCATCGGGATGTCCTCCCAACCTGAAACCAAATTTGGTGGTGGTGGTACTGTATGTCCTGTGTCGCATCTCTGTGGGGTGTATGTGTTGTGTGTGTTGTGCCTGTGTGTGTGTGTGTGTGTGTGTATAGAAATATTCTGTGCAGCTCATTATATGCGCCCACAGCCTGGCTGGAGTTTGCCAGTGGCATAAGCCTTAATTCAAGGCAGTCACGGTGCGTATGGAATGATTACAATTTATTTTGCTCCGGTCTCTGAGCACCTAGAACTGTTGAGATGCAAAACTCTTTACAAAGGTGGGAGGAGAAGTTTTTTTTAACCTAAGTGGCAAACAATAGACGTTTTTACAGTGTTGGTTACCAAACTACTATTTTGCTTATTTAATAATAATAATAATAATAATCCTTGCTTTTTGATTCCAGCACCTAATCACATCTTCGAGAAATCTCAAAGGGCTTCACAAAATACACCGTAAAGTGAATTGACTCTATATTTTGTGGGAGAAAAGTGGCAGCTAATTGCACACAGCAGTGTCCCACAAACAGTTGTGGATTGAGTGACCAAATTATTATTATTATTTTTTGTTTGAAGGGATTATTGCCCCCGGATAACCAATCCGCCAATCGACTAATAACCGGGTTCCTACTTACTGCTAGGTAAGCACAGGCATACAGAGTAAGGAAACTTGCCTAAGGTTTCGCTCTGCTCGGGAATCCAACCCAGGTCCTCTCGCTTGCGAGGCGAGTGCTCTAGCCAATACATCACAGGACTCTTTAGTGTTGCACGCTGGTACTTAACCATTTTGTGACTTTCACTGGAATGACTAAAAGTGGTTCAACACTTTAAAGCGTTAAAGGATGTGCTTTTCCTTTTTAAAATAAAGATTTTCCTGCTCTGCGTTCGGGTTTTGAATGAGGACTGTTACCTTGGGCAGGTTGTACCTCAGAAACAATAGGGCCATCGGTCCTCATGTGATCCCCTCCACGGCTTGGCTCCACCCTACCTCCGCAACGGCCATCAACCACACAGAGCCAGCCGCTCAGCCTTCTTCATGTCCCCCGCCTCACTGTCAGCCATTTAGCCTTTCTGGAGTTGTAACGAGAGGACCTGAGTTCGATTCCCGGGGTGGGGCGAAAACTTAGGCAAGTGTCTTTACTCCACACGCCTCTGTTTACCTAGCAGTGAGTAGGAGCCCGATTGTTAGTAACCTCTAAGAAAAAAAATGGTCACTTAATGAAATCACTGAGTGAGCCACCAGCAATCCTAAATCCTTTCTATTTTCTCCGCACAGGGAGCAAGCGGGGGTGCGATTGCACTTGGCGGCTTAGGATCCTCGGTGATGGGCCGCCTTCACGCCCGTCCGAGGTTAACACGGGTCAATCTCAGGGATCTTCTCTTCTGCCTGGACCAGGAGAGGGAAATGAAGCACTCGCTGCTGTTATACCGCTCCTATCTCAAATAAAAACAAAATGCCGGCTTCGAGTCCGGAAGGGGACGACGACGACCAAAATCCAAATGGATGGGATCCCGGTGATGTGGAGCACGCAGCACAGACAATTCCTCGGGATAACGGAGAGGGAGCTGTGGATTTTGACCACCTCTCCCGTTGTCCAGAACATGTTTAGTCTCGTCAATACGGTCCGTTTTGTGTGTTATATATTATACATATAAAAAAAAATCACGGCTTAGACGGGTAACAATTTTGACGTGTTCCACGTATGAGGCTAAATTCTTTGAAAAGGGCAAAGCCTGGTATAAGTGGGACCTTCCCAGGCAATACTCTGGAGTTAGACTGGTTTGGGGAGCATTCGATTGTGTTGCATTTCTTTTTTTAACAAACATTTCAAGGTCGGGTGTTGTTTTGTTGGACATCTTAGGCGATTGTGGTTGTGAAAAGTTAACTTCGAAAAGTTAAGAATCGCGATGGTCTTTTTTTCCTCTCCCCCTTGATTTTGTATTCCACTCCCACCTTCCCCCTTTCCTGTTCACCTGAGCAATGTCCATTCCCCCCCCCCCCTCCCCCCCATGTATCAGGCTCTCTCCATAACCCTCCATTGTTATGTTATGTTTATATTGTGTTTCCGGAAGGAAAACCCCAAAATATTGCTTCTGCGGCCCGCAAAGGTTTCTCAAATAGGGCATCCGGCCCTCAGCAGCCAAAAGGTTGGACCACCCACCCTGCCCTGTATCATCGGGGCTGTGTCGCCTGCCAGCAACCTCTTCCACACATTGCTGCCAAATCCAACAGGTTACGCCCAGAGGGAATGCTGTCACTTTAAGCAGCGACCTTTTCTGTGCTGTGTGTAAGGATGCAGCGAGACGGATGCAGCGCTGTCCATACTTCTGCATGTTCTGTTCCATCAGGAAGTCTATGCAACAACCTTTTCAGGCCTCCAGCTGCTCTTTGCTTTAATGCTTGGATGAGGTTAATGCCCAGGGATTCCTTTGTTTGTAAGATCCTTCTGGCCACTTGTTTGAGGTGCCTCTTCCCTCAGTCTCAGTCACAGCTTTGCATTGTGGAAAAAAAATCTGGGGTAAGGTTTTCGGGGGAGTACAGAAATCGGGGCAAAAAGGGCCTTGTTCAATTTAGGTAATGTGTTTCAGGCAGGGATGCTAGGCTCACCGTCTAAACCACATCAGATCCTCCGCAAGCTACACTTACTAGGCACTTCCTTCAGATATCTTTGCAGTATCTTTGGTACAAGTTCAGCAAGTCGTCACATTTCGTCTCATTTTTCTTTCTCTGAATTTTCTTCCTCTCTTCCCTTAACTTCCCCACCTCCACCATCCAAGATAAAAAAAAACCTTAGCACAGGGCAGGAGATGATTCAGCTGATTCAGCAATGCTCCTACTCAATCTGAGGGGAGTGTTAATCTCCCCGCTATTGGTGAAACACTATGATATCCCAGGATACCTGAGACATCATGTCGCAAAAGTAACCCCCCCCCCTCCCCCTACCTCCCGAATCCTATGCTGTTTGTTGTTGGTGGTGGGGGGCGGGAGAGAAAATTTGGACAGTGCTCTTGTCGTTATCCAAAAGTATTGATTCCTTTGAGGTGAATGCCTGTGAGGCATGTCTCCAAACCTAGAGAAGAGCATAGTTGACTCTATAATCTCGTAATCTGAAAAGGATCAAAGCCTGCCCAAATGAAGGTGTACTTTCCAATAAAAGTAGAGATTGATCTAACATGACACCAACTACTTTGCTGAAGCTACAGTTGATCGTAATTGCACAGCCTTGCTGAAGGGTGACTTAAAGCAAAGCATCGCTACTGGCTCAATATCTTTGTAGCGCTTTGACTCGTTTGAGCCAATATTGAGCTGTGGAAATCGGACGGGGTGAGGGTCCTAGTTTCAGACTCCACGATTGAACACGTCCAGGGTTCAAAGTCCTCATCCATCCGAGCTCTCGAAGCAAGATTATCTACCGCTCCCTGGTTATTACCAGCGCCCAGCTGTTCCCCAAGGAGGTGCAACGTCCGAGCAACCCGTGAGTCAAGTCTTAAACCTGGCCAAGAAAACACGACAGAGAACACATTTGCATCTGACCGGCGAGTGCTTAAGTGGTGTTACTTGATTCATTTCATGCCAAAGTGGCTTTCATGCTGTGCATTGACATCAGTGAGCCATCGCAGGGGCAAGGTGATGCTATTTATGTGTTGGCAGAGGTGATATTTCAAAGGTACTTTCAGTATTGTTGAGGAGACATACGACTAGCTGTCAGATATTGCCTCTGAAAGTCATGTACTAGCTGCCTGGATAGATGAGCTGTAATGAATTCCTGCCAAGAACGGCCCTGCAGTTTGGCAGGGCTTTGTTTTCTCCGTCTCTTTAACTTCTCACAAATGGGTCACCTTTCTTCCCTATGAGGACGTCGTGTTTATCCGCTGTGTTTGACCTGCAACAAACTAAGGGAGAGGTTGGCGATTCGCACTGAATAAAGGTCCAGCCCTCTGTCTCTTAGCCCAAGTCTCTGCGGGCTGGTGCTTCCATCTTCTGATTAAGGTGAAGAGGTTGGTTTCCAGCCTTCTCTGAGGCGCAAAAGGAAAGGCAAAAGATATTGTTCCTTAATCTTGCCGCTGGTGGGCAGAAAGAGTCAAAAGTTGCAGCAACGTACGAAGAGAACGATCTTGCGGACTTCATCTGACGCCTGAAATATCTCACCTCACTGACACTCCAGCCTTCAGTCCATCGTTTTCAATCGGCCAACAAATTAAGATACAGTTTAAGAATCCCCCCCACTCCCTGCCCTAACACAGATCTGTGCAATTTTCAGTTTTACCACTGATTTTTCTGAGACGTGCTCTAGATGTCTTCAATTCGCTCACAGAATATCCAGTCATTCCAGTTTACAGTGTATTCTGTGAGGCGCTTTGAGACGTCTCAACAACGTGATAAGGTGCTAGAAGATCAAATGCAAGGATTATTATTACGAGAGGAACAACCATCCCTGTTAATGTCAGTTCCTCGTCCCACCCTCAGGTTGACAGGCGGCTGGAAACAGAATGGCTCCCACACAACTGCAGGGAAGCAATTCATCTGTTACAAACAGCCTGGAAGGTCCTTTTAGGGTGTTATTTGCGAACCTGAGGTCTTTATTTCAACCACAGCTTTGCTGCTGTGAATGTTCGAGAGCTTGGAGCTGGACACTACTGTATTTTTTCACAAGCGTCTTTTCAGTCGCTGTTTAATTTGAAGAACTGGGAACTTTTTGTGTGTCACACTCACTCACTCACTCACTCACTCACTCACATACATACACACATACATTCTCCAGGAGCATTTTCCCAAATTATTTGTTCATGTGGAATGATATTCCAGCCTTGTCAGGTTTCTGATGCTCTTCCACAGTTGTCTTCAGGCAAACTTGACAAAGGTTGTGAGTGTGCGTGTGTACGTACGTGAGTGTGTGTGTCTTTGTTTTACAAAAGAAAATCAATGTCATATCTGCCTTGTAAGGGATAAAACGCTGCTCAAAATAGTGTTTAAACTATTTTTAACACCTGCCATATGACCTTATTGCCTTATTTGAGGTTTTTTTTGGTGACAGAAGGTGTGTGAACCTCTGCGTCGTTTGCTCAAAGTAACAAAGTCTCTGAAGTGGGCTTAAACGCTCTCATCGGTTCATATCTAGCGAAATTGCGACCACGTGTTTAGGAATAACTAATGCAGCTTTGAATTGTCAATGGCTTCCATTATAAATGTAAAAGTAGATGATGCCTACAAAATAGCATTAGTTATTTATAATTGCGCTGAGACAAATTTGCTGAAAACTTAAACAAACAAGGAAGGAAGGAATTGGGCGAATGTACTAGAAAAGGCCCTGAATGTTTCTTACAGAAAACATTGAAGGATTATTGGTAGTGGGGTGTTTTGATGGACGGGATGGGGTGGGGGATGAAGCGGGGAAGAAAGAAATGACCGCTCTAGGAATGTTCTGCAATAAAAGTATAATTTGGTGGGCTTTCACCCGCACTCGTAAAAATTATCCTCTTCTATGATGCAAAATGAATGTGCGTTGGTTAACTCCTGCAAGTGCAAAATAGTTTTGTACCACTGACAAATTGTAATTGCCTTTTCTTGGAGTGGTTGTGCGTCTGTGTGTGTCTATGGTGAAATTAATGCCGTACCATAAACCAGTAAAACACGCTCTAGTCTGATCGATATGAGTTGTATAATTGCCTTTGGCGGGCTGCACACCTGCCAAAGACCCATTCAAAAGTTTATATTCTATGCAAGTTTGACGGGACTCACACATATTTTGCATAAATCATATTCAATGTACGGTCCCAACTGATACGACTTATGTGAGGTTTACTGTATAATGTCTGAATTTTCTAAGCACTATACAGAGTGCCTTGGGCTCATTGAGCTTAATAACTCTGGGCCTTGATCCTACAAGATAAATAGCGAATGAGAAAAAGATACAAAGTTATTGTAAGAAAAAGTATGTTTGGATCCGGGGCTGGTATCGGTTCCTTTGTATATTATTTTGCACAAAAGAAACAGCTCAGGTCATTGTAAACATCTTTATTTTTTATTAAGTAATGTATATAAGCTGATGTGCCTCTCAGTAACTATTGTTATGTTGGTGCTTTGTACCTATTTTGTATCAAAATTTCTTTATATTTTTCAGATGGCCTTATATTAAAGTAATAATCTTTGCAAATAAACACTTCAAAGGGTTTTTGTTCATTCAGAGAATATCATACATGCCACCTATATATATATATACCCTGAGTAAAATTGGTCACTCGTTCCATGGCTGTTTGTGCAATATGTAATTGGCTGCTGTGTTTGCCTTCAAAGTACAGACACTTTGCACCATATTCTGTGACGCGCTTTGAGACGATGATGTGATAAATAGTTGTATCAAATGAAAAGATTATTGTATATCATATCACCATTACCCCGCAAAAGTGATGCATTTTTACTTTATACCTTTACCTTTACCCCATTACACCTTTCGATTTTCTCAAAACACTTTTAATTGTTAACTTACAAAACTTAACATAGACCCAAAAGAAGCTCTTCTAAGTACACCCGTGCAGTTATTTTTATGTAAAAGTCACCAACATGATCTACACACTTTGCTTCAACATGGATCCAGAGCTGTTTGTTTTGACGGTAAAATTATGTGTCTTTGATACGGAGCCATTCTACACGGCATTCTTCTCTGTAGGCAAACGTAGCAGCTCATAGCACCGTCCGACACAAACAGCTAAGATGCGAACGACCAATTTTATTCATGTTGTTGGCTCGGACACTGGATAGACTCTTTGAGTAGTTTCACGGGGTCTTTATTGTCCTCTGGCAATGCAGCGCAGCCTCCCAGCACTGTATCGGAGCATTATCCTGTGAAGTGTTTTGGGACGTGTTCCTGGCGCGAAAGGCGCTACACCAAACACACACGTTCTAATAATGATAATAATAAGAATCCTTGCATTTGATATGGGCAAAACA